TCATAAATAATGACGTCTTAATAGTGTTTACGATAATGTTTTATCTTATCTTTGGTCTGGGAGGTGTAACTTATCATGATACAAGCCTTTTAAAACATGTTAAAGTGCTACAAGATGAGATAAATGCATGAATTTAAAGTTCATGTTTGGAGACCAACCTTCACAGTTTGGAGGCTCACGCTGGTGAGGAGACACCATTAGTTCTAGTAACACCTGGAAGGATTCCAGTTGGATGATTGTAGGATTATTTAGGAGGATTGGAATGAACAAACTGGTTTCAGTGGTGAAGGGTTAAATGAGTGAGTGAACCCACTACCAAGGATGAACTCTGCTAACTTTAAAAATCAGCTGCTCTAAATAAGCATGAAGGTCAGAGAGGAGCTCTAGGATGGACATGGATAAAGGAACTGTAATGTAGAGGTAAAGTAGGGCAGGGCCAACGTTAGCAGCTGTCATACGGTCCATCTGAAATGTTGGTGGAATGCTGGATCTCAGATTCAACACCTTGTTTTCAAAAAAGTGAAGAAATCTGTTACAGTCATCAGCTGAAGATAGCTGAGCCTGATGCGGAGGAGAAGACACGATGCTGGAGATGGTATCAAACAAGGCCATTGTTTATTTCAAATCTCTTCCAGTCGAAGTCCCAGCCCAACAATTTGTAGTGTGGAACAAAATGGTATCCAGATTCATATGGGGTGGGGGTGGGGGGTGGGGGTGTAGTACAAGGGCCAGAATATGATTTTCTACACTTCAGTTGTCTAAAGACAAAGGTGGAACGTCTGTGCCAAATTTAAAACCCTATTTCCAAGCTGCACAACTTAGACCCTTATGCTGTTGGTGTGACCGTACTTATGTAGCACTGCGGAAAGACATTGAGATCTATGTCCCAGGCTACAATATTCAAGCTGCACTGCGGGAGGAGGGTTTGACCAAATCACTTAGAGATAAATTAGATCCTGTCACTATATTCTCTTTAGAATCATGGTACACGCTGGTCAAACAACTAAAACTGAAAAATTGTCAAAAACTGCTAAAGTGGATTGCCCAGGATGAGGGGTTTTAGCCAGGGTTTTACGACTCTGTTTTTTAAGACTGGATGAGGAATGGTTTAACAACCTTCTGTGTGGCTACTAAAAATAATATGATACGAACTTTCCAGGACCTGAAAGACAAATTTGATTTGAAAAATCAGGATCTCTTTAGATATCTTCAATTGAGAGACTATTTCAACAAGGAGATTAAAGGGGCAGCCTCTGAAGAGCTTAACCCAGTTGTTGAAACAATATGTCGATCTTACAATCAAAAGAACACCAAGAATATCTCAAAATTATATAACAGCCTGATGAATAACTTAAAGACTACATCCCTCTGTGTTAAAGCAAAATGGGAAAGAGAACTAAATGTTGTAATAACAGAAGAGGAATGGTACCAAATCTGCAGTATATCACGGACATCTACAAAATATGTGCTGGCGTGAATTTAACTGGAACTGTATCATTAGGTTTTTCATCACTCCACATGTGAAGAGCACACAGCTCCAAATAAAACAGTCGTGTTGGAGACGATGTGGCAGCTTTGATGCTCATCACACCCATATTTTCTGGACTTGTCCCACTATTCAATCGTTTTGGACTCATGTTGAAACCACAATACAAAAGATCCTGGGATACAACGTGCCAAGAGAAGCTACTGTACTATTTTTGGGAAACATAACTAAATGGGTACGGAGTGAGGACCATTACCTTGTAAAGATTTTGTTAACTGCTGCAAAGAAGACCATAACAAGACTTTGGCTCAAGCCCACAGCACTGGACCAACTCCAATGGATGACAACTGTACGAGTCATATCACAGATGTGAAAACTTACATATATTTTAAGGTTAAGAGGAGTACGATAATAAATGGAAAATGTGGATTTGTTTTATGGGTGCAGTAAGTGACAAGTGTATAGATAACTTTTGTATGTATACTTATGACTGATACATGTATTTGTGATAATGAGAATAACCTCCTTCATCTCCTCTGACCAGGTTCTCTTTCGTTTTGTTTTTTTTTTTTGTTTTTTTTTGTTGAAAAACTGCATTAAAATAAAAGTTAGAAAAAAAGACAGCGAGAGGGTTAAAGTCTCATTTATATTCTCTAGCTTTTACTTCAAAGTGATTTAGCATTTTTAATGTTTTGTACTATTATATTGTGTTGTTATATGTGCAGCGCTTTGGTCAATAAGAATTGTGTAAATGTGCTATTGAAATAAAGTTGAGTTGAGCACCCTCAGCTGTTCACATTTATGCAACCAAAGGTTAACAAAAATTGGTCAGTTTATTACTGTTGCTGGCTTTTGTTTTCTGCTTGAGTAATATGACTTGATCAAGCCTTTTATACATTCCACACTATGAAATAGGAAAAAGTATGTATGATTTGTGCTGATATATCAGATTAATATTGTTCAATACTGAAGGCTGCAATATTGGTATCATATCGGAAGTGAAAAAAGTTGTATTTGGGACATCACTTAACTATGCTAAAATTCACCTTTTAAACATAAAAATGATACTTTTTACACATTCTATTTATACAGTATGGAACATGTTATTCAAACATTTAATTTAAACATTCTTGTTCATTCATCACATATGATTACTGTAAGCTCATGAGTTGTAAAAGTCATGGAGTCTTCCCTTATTCAGAGTGAAGAATGTTGACGTCTGACGTTCACACAGTGAGTGCAAGAACCTTGGATGAGAATGTTTGTTTGAATGTTTTGTCTTCATGGTATGTAAACAAGCACTGCAGAACCTTCTGGGTTTGGAAGGCCAAATAGAAAGTGGATTTATTTCTGTAGAAGAAAAGTGACTATGTTGGTCAATGTAGATGGTGAAAAATTGACCCTTTCAGACGTTAGGCAAATGTTCATCTTGATTAGCTTTGACATTTGATCAGCCTATCATTCGTTATGTCCAACCCTGCATCCAACAGAATAAACAAAACATTAGAAAATGAGCAGCAGAGCAGCTAATCGGTTTCCTGGACAAAAATCAGCTACTGCATCCAGAACAGTTTGGGTTTCACTCAGGTTACTCAACCGAACTGGCTAACACCTATATCACAGGAAATATGACAAGATCCTTAGACGATGGTAACGCAGTTGGAGCTGTTGTCTTAGATCTGAAAAAAGCCTTTGGCAAAGTGAATCACGAGATGCTCCCACATAAACTCAGCATATTAAAAAAAATTTCACATCCAGCTGTTAACTGGTTTAGATCAATCATTTCTAAAACACTAAAAACTGTGTGTTAAAGTCAATGGAATTAAATCAAGCGTTAAAAACTGTACAATAGGAGTTCCACAAGGTTCCATCCTAGGTCCATTACAGTTTTGACTACACATCAATGACTTATCCAACAGTTGTAAGTAATTAAGTAAAAAGTAAGTAAAAGTTTATTTATATAGCGCCTTTCACAGATATAAATCACAAAGCGCTGATGTGAAGTGTGTCTAGTGCCAAATGTATGCTGATGATGCCGTCATCTATGCAACTGCAAAGACACCCAACAGGCTGCAAAGTTACTGAATGAACAGAGTGGGGGTGTCTCACTGGTTCAAGAATAACCTTTTGACCCTGAACTACTGTAAAACCACCCCCATGTGTTTTATGATCAAAAGCAAGATTCCTGACAATTGTACTGTCCTCATTCACCATCCAACAAGTGGATGAGTCTGGCTGTTGTTTTGGATTCACTTCTTAAATTTGAGTCCCATTGTGTCCAGAACCATTAGGACCAACCTCAACTGCTTCCATTTGATAAGGCCATATTTACCTGTAAAAGCTGCCCAGCTGTACCTACATGCCATGATTCTGTCTCACCTCTCTTACTGTGTAACTGTTTGGACCCAAGTAACCCAATCTGCTTTAAAACCTTGTCAAACAAGCCCAAAACATCCTGGACCAAAAACCAATGAAGTGGCACCACTGCAAAATACAGGAGACGTACAATCTCCTAAGTTTCGCTAACTTATAAACTCTGTAGTAAAATTGACATCAAAATGTCTAAATGGCCTTGTCCCAGAGCTGGTGAGCAGACTGATCGCAAAAGCCAGCAGCACAAGAGCTACAACCACAGGAGTAGCCAATGGAGACTGCAAACCACAGAAATACAAAACATCAGCTGGCCAATCCTTGTTCTCATTTAGAGGACCTCATATTTGGAACAATCTACCATGAGCAATAAAGCAGTTAACAAATTTTACAACTTTTAACTCCCAGGTGAAAAAAATGGCTGAAACAAAAACAAACTTGTGAATACTGATGTTTCTAATCAACTAAAATAATTTATTGATATTGATTGGGTGTGTGTGCATGTGGTGTTAAATGTTATAAATGCTGCTTTTTGATTGTCTCTAAATTGGAAACAGGTTGAACTGATCCAATTTAACCATTTAAAATTGTCAAATACATATTTTATTGTCTCTAAAAGACCAATCAAGGACTAGGTGTACAAATTAGCCTCTGGCTAGAAAACCTCTGTACAAAACAACAGTGCATTGCCCTTACATGTAACATTGTCTTTTGTGTTGTCCTTGTACAATAAAACCAAACTAAACTAAACATCACATCCTGCATGCAACATCAGTGTCCTCCAGAGTGATCCAAAAATAAATAAAAAGGGAAGCCCCTATTTAAACTGTAAGGAGAGGACTCCTGCAAGACATTCACAGATAATGCAGTAAGTCTGAGCTAAATAGGATTAAGTATTTTCTCACTATACTAAAATTACTCACCATGTTAAATATCTGATATTGACCAGCATCAGCTCTAATAGATTGAGAAAATGTCCTTTTGAATGATCATGGTTGATATATAACCGGCAATACAGTAAAAGAGCCTGCCAAGTAAGTCAGTCATAATGACAGTAAAGTCAGAGGCCAGTGTGTCCAAGTCTATATTAAAATTAGTGGAGTTAGAGGATGTTTTTGAGACGCAAAGAACCTCATCAACGTACCTTCAATCGTTTGACCACCTCATCATTACTGATTTTATCTGTGATCTCTTTTACTCCGGGTGGATAGATGATCTTCCCGTCCCCCGCCGGTTTTTGCTGTTGAGGGAACTCCATGCTTGTTGATACTGTATAGTCCACACGGTCTTCTACTGGCCTCTATGGGTCAGAAAACAAAAGTTCAACACAATCATGCTACCGCACTCACCAAAACCTCACTTTAGACATCATTTTACAGCATCACAAGATCACTGTAACCCGTTAAAATTGATGAAAGCACACCTGACTATTAAACGACATTTGGATCTAGTACACTTATTAAACAAATGGCCCAAAATGAAGTAGCATAATGAATGTTATTAGCTTACATGCTAACTTACCACAGCTAAAGATCAACTGTTTACCTATCTTTACAAGACAACATAAACCTAAATAAAAGAGCATGACTGCTACCTAGACTACAAGTATATCTACCGAGGTACGCAAGTGAGCAAGCACTTTACGAACGATACAGCCGGTGTGTCTACTGTCAAACAGCTTCTCGAGTTAGCCAGTTAGCTAAACAGTTCAAACAGCCTTAGCTATCATTTTGCGGGAAGGAAGCCGTGTAAGCTAGGCTAACTGGCTAGTCTACTGTGTTAGCGTAGGCCGCAAACTATCCAGGTACCCATCACATCTGCGTCCACGGACAATCAGTGAGGAAGTCAAGTATCCTATCATTTATGCTTCAAATAGCCGTGCCTATGGTTACTTCCTGTGGTTTTCAATTAATTCAACAACTTTGATCTGTTTAAAAATGTAGCTAATTTACTTGTTACGACCTTTTTTCAACTTCCAAGCATCGCTTCTCACTGCCGCTAGTCACTGGCGAGGCAGGGCTGCTACCGTCGCCCTGAGTCCTCCTCTCTCTACCAACAACTTGCCCCACGAATGATTTGAAACACACCAACACATGCTAAATCGACCCATTTCCGAAAAACACCGACAACCTGAAACATGTAATATATGCGACGCTCTTCTTTTAACGTATTACCTCTCAAATGGGCCGTTTTAATTCATTGGTCTCACTCAGATTGGTTTAGTTTTCGGCACAAAGCTCTGTCCGTTCAGTCAATGCTGTGTTTGAAGGCTGGGTGTGGAGCGCCCCCATCGGTTGAAAAGTAGTATTACAGCTGCAAATCCATGGCGGGAGATGCAGTATACAGCAAACAGCATTCACATGACAGGAAGAGTCGCGCCTAAAACTAGAACAGTGTTTGGACATGCTAATAATTCTTTAGAAAAATAAATTAAGCAAAACCCTGACACATGGCTTGAGAGATGCCCGTTTTCAAAGTGGCTTAAATCAAAAATAAATTTATCACATTATTAGGCGATTATTATTCTTTTATTGACCAAGTTAAAAATAAATTCAATGAGACATCAAATTTATTTTTTCAAGAATGACTTGGTCCTAGAAGGCAGGACAAGAGCAATACGAAAATGTTCACATAATTCAAACACTAAAACCAAAACAATGTCTAGACAATAAAATGTTACTAAAAACTTAAAGTGGAACTAAATTCATTATTAAAATCTGCTACAATTGCCAATATTTAGTGCTTTAAATCCACCTAATAAAATCGGTTTTTATATGTTTATTTTCTTCTGTGGGTTTCAAGAAAACATGCAGTAGCTACAAATACAAACTCTTTTGTCCAATTCAGTTCTGATTCTGGGGGTAGAGATTTCAGTTTTTGTTTTGTTTTGTTTTATTACGCAAATAAGAAGGCCAAGGACAGAATTGTGGACGGAAGATATCTGCTCATATTATAACATTTACAAAACACTATATATGAAAATCTCCACCAAACTGCTGGTGACGTTTGGCAGGTATTTTATTGCGAGGGGAAGCTTTTATTTTGTAAGGAATTACTTCCGGTGTTCTCAATGGCTGCTGGAACGTAAACATTCCTCCATTCCTCCTGTGCTGCTGTAGGTTAGCTTAAACCCGACTTACTGTAATATATCACTGTAGCATGTTTTTGTTTCCAGCATTGAGTCAGCTCCTGGTAGCTACCCGGTCACCTGTTAGCTTTGTTAGCAGCTAATGACCGTCGGTATGCCTCGGAAAAGGAAAAACGGCCAAAGCCCGGCCAGGCAGCCCGCTGGGCCACCAGAAAGACACAACACCACCAGTCACCCGCTGCCTCAAGCATACCACCTCGGTATGACGAGCAACTTCCAGACCAGCAGCGCCGAGAAGGAGAGGGTCGTTAAAAGCATGCAGGAGATGTTTTCACACCTGGACCCAGATGTTATACACATTGTGCTTTCTGAATGCGACTTTAAAGGTACCAAAACACACGTAAGCCAAGCTGTCCAACTAGTAGCAACGGTTCAGGTTGTAGCTAAACACTTAGCTCAGCTGGGTGGTTTGTGGGACTGATTTTTATCGTAACTGAAGCACATGGCTGTACATCAGTACTCACCCAATGGGTGAGGTTTACAAACCCACGTTCTCCCAGTCCACTTGTCCTCTCTGGAGACACGGCATGTGTTATTTGAATGGCAGAATTGTTCACTATTACTACCGTTAGTATCTTTAACAGTCCAGCTGCTACCAGTGAGCATATAATCAGAATCAACAGTCGTGTTTTTTTTACTAGACATGTAAACATTTGTTTAAAGCAAATTAATTAAGTGTGATTTTAAGAGACGTACCAAAATATCTGATGGTGATCAGCCAGTATTCAGCAGGATCAGCTTAATGAGTGATCAGTCAGTCTGAAACAAATAAACCGGATTTTCCCCGGATCCATTAATGCATCACTAACAAACGGTGATAAAAAAAACAAACAAAACATTTTTCCTACACCATGAAGTCACCATGGCTAAGTGCTTATTCATGCTGGCAGTTTTAGATCTTTCATATGTATGTTGCAGAATCACAGTTTTAATATTCATCAGAAATTGAAACAATAATTATATTTTAAATATTTTGTTAGTAATTACACATCAAGCAAAATTAGAATCAGCAGGTCAGAGCTGGAGGAGGATCGGAATTCAGTACTGATTCTTAAAACCATTGTCAGTTTATTTCTAGAGATTTTATTTTATTGTTAAAGATAATTAAAATTATTTCTATGAAATTAAATATAACCTGCTAGCATTTTGGTTTCTGCTTTACGCATGTATTTGTATTGCCATCATTGTATGTGTGTCTTGTAGTTGAAAATGCAATGGACTCCCTTCTGGAGCTGTCTAGAGCTGCTGAGGTGGTGACCCCGAATCCTCCACCTGTTTCTGGCTTTGAGCGCACTGCTGCAGCCTTGCTCAGCCCTCGTCACTGTTCTGGACCTAAACCGGAAGCAGGCTTGTCCAGTCCACTGCAGCAGTCTTCCTCTCATCCTCTGTCCACCAGCCTCCTGACAGAAGAGCTGGATCTGCTTGTTGATCAAGAACTGAGGACACTAGCCACACAGCAGGATGTTATGCAGGAGCAGCACGGTAGCATGTTTTTATGTGCTGAAGCAGCGTTCTCCTCTTTCCCTCCACTGCCCATCCCTCAGCAGAAACTCCCAGAACTGCTTCAGACCAGCCTAGAGGCTGGATCTAGTGAGCATTTTGGCAATCAGCCAACACTATCGGGGGGTGTGGTGGAACCTTTGTCTGGAGTTTCCTCTCCTCTCAACCAGCTCAGCACCTGGGAGCATCAGATCCCTGAGATGCAAAATGACATACTGGATTTCACCCACTTGATGACAGAAACCTCTTCAGATAACTCAAAGCCTCCTTTGGACCTGGTAGCCTCAGGACGCCCTTCAGCATTTCAGGTGTATAAAAAACAGGATTCGTCCTCTGAGAGGACTGAACCCAACGACTCAGTCAGTGGAACAAGATCTCAAGAGAACGAATCCTCCCATCTACACAGCCATAGGTCAGTACCCTGGAACTTGGCACCGCCAGTGTTTTCTCCCCATTTCCATGGAAACAAGAGGCCGACCTTCATCACCCCTGTTGCTCAGACATCCTCCGTTTGGTTTGGTCATATGAGACATGCCTCCACATGGCTGAATCAGGGTCCTGTCAGTCAGCCGCCTCTCAGACCTGCTGCTGCTGTTCCGAGGTCCTGGGTCCTGCCGACTGCTCCACAGACTACCTCCCACTCCAGCAGGCTGCATTTGCAAGGGAAGCTGCTTGTGCTGCTTCGTGGTGCTCCAGGATCTGGAAAGTCAACTCTGGCGAGGTAAAAGTACATCTGACAAAATGTTTTGGTTTCTTGTAATATGTGATCTTATTCTCATAACTGATATATGTTTCTGTAGAATGAAAACAAGTTACAGTTTAACAGAGAGCTCATTTGTTTTTTAAAAATAACAAATGTGCATATTTGTAATAAAATCTGACGTGCACGTTGACCTGTGGCATGTGAACAATTGGCACTGACATGGGTCCATAGAAGGAGAGAAAGATATTTAATGCTGTGTTCATGGGAGGTTTCATGGGAGGTTTGAAAGCTAATCCTAGAGGTAGGAAGTTGTCTAAGCATCACCAAAACAACTAAAATAAACCAATAAATGGCAGAAAGAAGACTGAAACAAAACCTGAATGGATAAAAACCTAAAAGAACAAATAAAGTTGGAGTTTTCTTTAGGATTGCACGTTGCCAGATTCATGGTGCTTCTTTCCTCCTGAAGGAAAGATTTGAAGTTTGCTGAACTTACAACCATTTCCCTTCTGTTTTTCTCTGTGTCTGGTTCGATGACGTCGCTTTGGTGACGCACATTTGTAGTCCTGGACTTATTTTCACACAAAACCTAAAATAGCGTTTCCCCCTGTTCGAAAATAAGCACGTTCTTGGTATCAAGATGAGTCTTTAAAATTCACGGACATCATACGTGAAGTCCTTGGCGGAAAACAAGCGGAATTAGAAAATAGTGTTTTTAGCCTCAGACCCATGGTCTGGACGTAGATGGGCATGACTTAGGCTCCCTATTTCCAGCCACTGATGATGTGAAACTGTAGCTTAGGTCAAAAATGAACAAAAAGGCTAATCACATCACCACATCTACGGTTAAATTATAGGTGGACATTAAAATGTCAACACTTCCTCCCAAGTTCTGATGATGCATTCTGTCAAAGATCCACAAGTGTTTAAGTTCACCCTAACTAGAGGTCGACTGATATTTGTTTTTCTATTGCCGATACCGATGCTGATAGATAAACGTCATGGTCGGCTGATTAGTGCTGCCGATATTTTGGGCTGATTTTCATGGTCGATATCGACGTTTTCCACCGCATTTTCACCAAACTTCTGAAACTGAGTCAGTTTTTCAACAGCCATATTTTTTAAATCATTTTCTTGAGCCGGTATGTAAAAAAAGTTCTACACTTCATCCTGTCCATCTAGTGGACATTTTTTGTTTCTGTCCGGGCAGTGTCACAACAAATCATAGCTTTAGCCATTGGTTGTTCTCGTAGCTACGGGATAGCAGTCACAGCCGTTTGTGGCTACAGGTGTGCCCTCCTGGCTACAATCGGAGCTCGGCCTCCATGTTACATCAGTTAAAATCCATCTTTTTGTGTCTCTGTAGAGCCATGTTGGAGCAAAACCCAGATGGAGTTGTACTAAGCACCGATGACTACTTCACCATTGGGGGACAATACCAGTTTAACCCCATGGTTCTGGGAGAGGCCCATGAGTGGAATCATAAACGAGGTTAGAAAATCCTACAGCAACAACGTATTTGGATTATTTGTGTTTTGTTGACCTCAGTTCATATATTTCTCTGGTGCCACCTTTACGTCACAGCTATGGAGGCTTTTCAGAGGGGCGCCAACCCCATCATCATCGACAACACCAACATGCAGGGCTGGGAGATGAAACCCTACGTGGCTCAGGTCTGGTTATTCAGCTAGGACAGGCTAACTGTTTAACTCATGCTCTTAAAGATCAATAGTCTGTTTTTAAACCAGATGAGCTTAAAATGATTAACATCTGTACTTTTAGACATGCAAAGTGTGGCAGTTTACATGAGAATGATTCCCAGTAACCAAAGCAGGCTTTTAAATAACAAAATCAATAATGTTGCATTAGATGTGAGGGGTAGTCACTGTTACTTATAGATGGCAGCATATCATAGTTTTTAAGTCTGCTTCAGGCTCTGAGACACGGATACAAAGTGCTGTTCAGAGAGCCAGATACCTGGTGGAAGAACAAGCCCGGAGAACTGGAGAGGTAACATCGTGTCTGGATTGAATTCTGGTACACATGAGTGAAAAGTGGTGCCGAGTGCAACTTAACCAGTTTTTATTCTGGTTTGTCTTTTGTATGTGTGTACGTGCACACATGCAGGCGTTCCATCCACAACATTCCAGTGGAAACGATCTGCCGCATGCTGAACGGATACGAGCGCTTCGTCACAGTCCAGTCCATCATGGGCTCTCACATGCCTGAGTTTAAACAGCGCCCTCTTCAGGAGACCAGGAGCCCCCTGTGAGTGCTTTTCAAAGTGGGTTTAGTCCAGTTCTCAATTCTCAGGAATAAAGCCTAGTTTATACTTCTCCATCTGTAGAGGTGCAGAGACATGCAGAGACTGTGGTGGCAAGGGCTCTCCAACAGATGGAACAGAGTTCAATTTTCTAACTATCCGTCAAATGTGATGGAGGCAGCAAGCCTGTGATTGGTCAGGACGCCACTTCCTCAACAGCACCGCCATCCCCTCTGGAAACAAATAAAACGAGAGTTGAACAAATCATTGTGACCGACACGGAGCAAATTGAAGAATATCTTGCGGACAAAGTCAGACTATATAAAAGTTAATACACTCGAGTCATAACTTAAGAAGCACAAACACATGCAGCAAACATTTTACTCTCTGACGGAAGTTATGAGAAATAAGATTTTAGAGGGGGCGACTGCATGAAGAGGTAGAGGAGAATGAGGGACAGACACATTTTTCAGTGTTGTAAAGTTTCTGAGATACATAAACACAATGTAAACACACAACGTGTCAACACACCACAGACATGACTGCAATGATGGCAGGATACCCCAGAAAAGCGCCATGCCCTCTGTTGTCCTGGCAACACTAACAACACTAACACACCCAGCAGAGAAGTCCACCCATCCATTGTCTGAACCCACTTCGTCCATGTAGGGTCGCGCGGGGGGTGGGGTGGGGGTGGGGGGTGGTGCCTGGTGCCTGGTGCCTGGTGCCTATCTCCAGCCGTCACTGGGCAATTAGGCGGGGTACACCCTGGACAGAGAGCCAGGCCATCGCAGGGCAACACAGAGCCACACAGGACACACACACACACACACACACACACACACACGCACGCACGCACGCGCACACACACACACACACACACACACACACACACACACACACACACAATTTAGACAGACCAATCAACCTAACAGTCATGTTTTTGGACGGTGGAATGGAAGCCGGAGTACCCGGAGAGAACCAACAGAGAAGTATAAAAGGAAAACATTTCTGTGTCTATAGTGTGTGTGTGTGTGTGTGTGTGTGTGTTTGTTTGTGTTTGTCTGTGAACAAACTTGCTGACAGAGAAGTATAAACTAGGCTTAAGACAAATCCTGCTTTCTGAAGCTCACCTCTGCTCTGGCTGACTTCTACTTCCTGAAACAGGAGCACCAGAGCTTTTTCCCACAGAGATCGACTCACAAGACATTAATTTATACTAGAGACCACTGCAGAGGTGTTAAAATGTGTGAACTTGGTTTTAACGTTGTGGTCTTTTAACCGTCTGGAGGCAGGCATTGCAGATATGCAACGTTAAAACCTACCTACCTGGTTACTCCACACACGTATTTCATCAGCATTTTTTAACTCAGAAGTTCCCTGAAGGACTTAGTTGTTCGTCCTTTTCTCAGAACTTATTTTGAGCCTGAGAGGGTTAAACGATATATTAAATTTTAATGTTATTTTTGGTCTGAGCTATGAAAAACCTCACACGGCTCCAGAGCTGAGTGTTGACGATCCCTGAGTGATTATGTAGTTTATGTGTTTATTACTAGTTGTCATAATCTGTTTAATATTATTTTTCTTTCTGTTCAGCTCAGTTAACCCCGACCTCGTGGGTCAACCTGGACTGATGGAGCAACATAAAAAACCTCAGCTGTTTTCCTCCCTTCCTGATGTTTCGTCTCTCAGTTGCTCCGGAGAGTTTGGAAGACGCGAGGACACCAGCTGCAGATCCACAGAGTCCCTCAACCACCAGGAAAAGCCTTCCAGCTCGCCTGATGGTTCTGATGTGGATAATGTCACAGATTTGGGTGACTTAGATGCTCATCTGGACTTCCAGTTAGAGCAGCACCTCCCAGAAGGAGACCAGAGAATTCCAGACTGCATTGTGGAGTCGGTGATGAGTGAAGGGGATGAGATGAATGTGGCGTTCTCTGCATCTATTGGACAAAGGGTGAGGAGGGAAAGGGCGAGCAGGAGGTCTGATTTTGACATGCAGGAGCCTGTAGATCTTGTGAAAGACGCTGACCGATCAGACCGACAGAACTCCAAGGATGAGGAATCAGAAGATGGTGAGGCGACAAGGCGTGAAAAGGAGGAGGAAGTGCATAAGACGTTTCATTTCGTTGGAGACTGGCCTACTGAAGGGACTCTTAAGCAGCGACAAGTGAGGAGAAGAGAGAGGCAGGTAAAGGAAAGCGAGGAGGGAGGAGCCATTGATGATGACAACAAAAAGGGAGTGATGCCAGGGCCAGATGTAACTGAGTTTCAGAAGCTTCTTGATCTTATTCAAACTGGTGAGGTCCCAGTTCAGATGAGCTCTTCGCCCTCTCAGTCTCTTTCTCCTTGCTCTGGAGCAGACTCCGATGAAGAAGATGAGCAAGATGGCAGCAAGTCCAGCAGCAAGGGTGAATTACCGGATTGTGTCCAAGACTGGAAGGCAGCGGACTCGTCTGTCAGCGTGGATTTAAGAGCTGATGAATGGCAGAGAGTTCAAACAGATGATTTAGTGAGTAGTATCAGTGAAGGGGATGGTGGAGAACTGGTTGTGTTCAAATCAGATGATTCCAACTTAACCGGCGCTTGCAGCAGTAAAGAGGGAGACTCCAGTACACCTGATCAGGTCAGCACGGATGTGGATCTGAAAGATTCTGCAGAAAATGGCAAAGAGTCTGCAGCGGAGGCTGATGGAAGTCTTGTCAGCGAGACGTGCGAGAGTCCGGCGTGCAAGGGCTTATCAGAAACACAAAGTTCTGGAGGCAGTCTGGAGAGAAAGCAGCGACAAGGTCGTAGGTCAGGGAAACCGTGTAAACTTGCCCTCACATTCACTCAGAATTGTCCTACTTCTTTACCGACTGAGCTGATCCATCCAAACGCTACAACTGAACCCATAGATGACAACACCAACAAGGTTAACCCAGAAGTCTGTGTGTGTAGTCCTGATTGTGACAGCAGTCTTAATCATAGACCAGATCTGGACCTGCTGTCCCGGCCTAACTCTGAGGAACTCTCACAGCTGCTGGCTCCTTTGGCTCTGGTGGGAACGAGCTGCTGCACGCAAACAGAACCTCGGGACTTTGCTCTTCTCTGGCGCCTGAATCGATGCGCCCCCTCTGACAGTTCAGCTGTCGCTGTGAGCAGACACTCCAGTGACGTCACTGTCCTAGAGGGCCACGCTTCTTGTTTTGAGCCGCAGCCCGGCCCCATGGCTTCTGCAGCAGCTGCCAGTCAGGTTCCCTACCGTGTAGTGCACGAGAGAGGCACTCAGGTGGAGGAGAAGGAGCTCGGGGTGACTCAGGACCAGATTGGGAACTTGCAAATTCTGAATCGTCATTTTAAGCTCGTTAGATTTGACACACTGGAGGATTTGTATGACAAATGCCATCAGGACTTAGACTGGACCACCAACCTCCTGCTGGACTCTGGAGAGAGGTTCTTCAGGGAAGAAGATGCTGAGGAGGAGGAGGAGGTGCATATTGCAGCTGGTGTAGACCAGCATACAGCTAGTTGGTTATGTGAGAGTTTTGATACATCAAATCAAGAAACTGAGACTGAAGGTGATGGTCAGACGTCAGCCTGTGGGACAGAAAACAAAACAGATTCTTCTCTTCCAGTAGCAGACGAGCAGCGCTCAAATGCAGCTTCTGGTGTGGAAACATCTACTCCATTAGAGCTTTTCCTTCCTGAAGCAGAAAATGGTTTCCAACTAAAACCTAGCCAGGAAGGAGGAGCTTGGAGTGGGACTGCGAAACAGGAGGATCCCCCCAATGAGCCGAGGGTTGATGTTCAGGACGAGATGGCCAGCATAGATGAGATCAATCGGCTGCTGCAGGCTGAGCTAGAAGACATAGAGAGGGAGGAAAAACAGAGGAAGGAGCAGAGGTGCAGCCAACATCTGGATATTCAGTCAGTGGAGCTCACCCTTCCCACCGAGCTGGCGCTACAGCTAGCAGAACTCTTTGGGCCTGTTGGGGTCGACCCAGGTAACTGATGAGCTGTTAACTGAACCAACTAGATATGTATCATATATGCATCACTGAAATGACTCTCTGTTCTGTCTGGCTCTTTGTTCTAAGGCTCATGCTCTGCAGATAATTTTGCGGTGCAGATGGACCTGAATCTGGCTAAACAGCTTCACCAAAAGTGGAAGGAAACCATCCAGGTGTGAAGTTTAGTGTTTTTCTATTGATTTAATGTCTCCCTGTGGTTGTTTATGTTGTTTCATCTGGAAATAACGTGAGTGTGTGTGTGTTTGTGTACTTAGGAAAGACAAAGACAAGAAACTCTTTCTTTTCACTTACTTCAGCAAAGTAAGTTGTACCGTACCTAAATGCGATTTTAGATTTTATCTTCGAAGCATCAGTAAATCGTTAGGGACAGACCGACAGGGATATACACTGTCTTGAATATTTATTCTTTCTGTTGGCTCTTTGGGTTTAGTGAGCAGAGGGCAGTCCCAGGTAACCAAACACGGACCACATGAGTCGACACACCCAGCTACTTTCCTCACCAGTAAAGACGGAGATGCGCCAGGGGTCAGCCAGCCAGATCCCTGTGGTCAGATGCCCTTCATGGACCACTGGAATGTGTCCCATCCACACGTCTCTCTTAGAGAGATTATAAAAGAGGAACAGGCTCTGCAGGAGAATGTGCAGAAGGTAGGTTTTATTATTTGTCTTTTATTTTGGGGGGGGGGGGGGGGGTCATCAAATAATCATTTTTTTTCCTTTGTTCAAAAACCTACCTTGTCGTTTCCCTTCTAGACAAGACAGAGTCGTTGTGATCTTGACCGTCGGGATGGAGCCACGTTGTTGAAGGAGAAGCAGCTGTACTCGCTCTTCCCCACCATCGACAGGCATTTTCTCCAGGACATCTTCAGAGATCACAAGTGAGAAAACTGTTTTCATCATCTCAGACTGTGAGTGTTCAGAGTTCGGTGAGTGAAAGGTAGACTGAGTTCAGAGCTGTGTGTCCAGCTTCACCAGGACGTTAGTGTCTGTGTGCAGCAGGTGTTGTGTTGAGATGCATCAACGAGGAAACCCAAGATAAATTTAATAAGAAACGGAAAATCATTCTGGAATGGCTTCCAGCTGAAGGTGTTTACATCCCTCAGGAATATCTAGGCTTTCCCACCCATCCACCCAATACATCTGTGTTGGTCTTTGTAAGGCTTGGATAAACATTTAAACCTGTAATAGCTCTGTATCATATTAGCGGAAAGACAAAAGTTAGTGTTATTGTTCAAGTATTACTCATCACTTCCCCCTAGTGGTGTTTCCTTCCTCCCTCTGACAGGAGGGACACTTGTCATCAGTCTGCACCTCTCAGTAGTGCTCTGAGGGAAACTGAGGCCTAGTCCACACGTAGCTGGTTTTAAAAAAAAACGAATATCCGCCCCTCCAAAAACTTGCATCCACACCACCTCGTTTAAAAAAAAACTGTCCACACGTACCCGGATAAATACGTTGTTAAGGACATGCCAGACCTGTAGGCGGCAGTACTTCCCCCGTTCTTAACCTCGTCCTTCGTCTGTGGTCTTCCGCAAGGAGCAGTAATTCCGCTTGCAAAAACAAACAAGCAAAAAGCGCTTGGACAATTGATAAAGCGAGCGCAGCTCTGAGGGCATCCATGCTGTCGGCTAGTGTAAACACAGGTCGCACACGTGATGTCAGAATTTTTTTGTGGCGGAAAGTGACCTTGCGGACCTTAAAACTCCGGTTTTGTCTGTCCACACGCAGACACCCAAAACAGAGAAAACGCAGATCTTCACTTTGGCCGGAGTTTTTTAAAAGATCCGTTTTCGTGTGAAAAAACTCCATTTTCGTGTGGATGACAGGCCAAAACGTAGAAAAATATCTACGTTTTGGCAGATCCCCGGCTACGTGTGGACAGGGCCTAAGACCTATGTCAAAAGTTAAGAGAGCAGTTTTTAGTCAAAAATGTCAAATTTAGCTGTTCAAACAAGCATTTGTATTAGGGATGCACCAATACCGATATTGGTATTGATACCTGTGCAGATACCGATACCAGGAACCCATACCGATGCAGTTGCTTGAAAGTGGCTTCACTGTAACTTCTCATTTCTGTTCACCTAATAATTTAGTTTTGTGATCATTTCTATTCATGTATTTTACTTTTTATCTACCATCCTGTTGAAAGCAGAGAAGAAAATAAAACCTGTATTCCAATTCATAGCATTTTTTTGTGTGGTGGAAGTATCTGTATCAGTAATCTGTATCGGCGAGTACTAGATCAAAGTACTGGTATCGTATCGGTTTGGGAAAAAGTGGTATCGTTGCATTTATAATTTGTATCATTTCTACTGATTTCCTTTGGACAAATCTAAATCCAACATAAAATCTGACTTATTTATTCTCCGTTATATATGGGAGAAACGGGGGGATGTGTTTATCCGTCTGAATAATGTTTTTGTGCATTTCCTTGTTGCAGTTACAACCTCATCCAGACAGAGACGTTTATCCGCTCTCTACTGAACGAGGAACCTGTGAAGACCGTAGTTGCTCCTGAAGCTCCTCGGTCCGACCCCCCCAGAGCAGCCAGCAAGGATAGAGAGAAGGTGTTCACAGGAAGGCTAGAAATGTGCTGGTTTAATGTTTGTATTTTAGCTTGATCTGTTATTGTTAGTTCTTATGAATCCAGACTTGTTTCTAAATCTAAAAAAAGAGTCAAATTTATTTTTGACTCAGATTTATTATAAAATTTAATCATAAAATGATCATAAATGAGTTGAACCTCCACATCTCGGATATTGTTTTATTTAGTTTTTAAAGTGTTGAGTAGCGACTCCATTAGCTGAATAACATGTTTAATTTCCTCTCTTTATCAGAACTGTCTGATTAAAGGTCTGTGTTGTGGTTTGTTTGGACCTGACAGAGGCAGAAGCTGGAGGAGTTATCCGTAGTCAACTATCAGGACACCGACGACCCGGAATATGAAGACTTCAGGGCCGAGGCCAACCTTCAGAGGAGGCGACAGCTCGAAAGTTTTGCCAAAGCCGCAGAGGCCTACAAACAGGGGCGCAAAGAAGTAGCCTCATTTTATGCTCAACAGGTGAGAATAGTTTCATGATTAATCGCATCAACTGAGCGGTTCAGTTTCCTTCTCATAGGCTGCTGTTCCTGTTTTAGACCACCAACTCTACCGCTTCTTGTTTTAGGATCAAATGACAGGATAGCCACCTGAACTGGAGGATTCATGTTTGAAATCTGGAACTTTGATGAGATTTGTCAAGATGTAAAAATTCAAAACATAGCATTTAGCCTTTCTTTAAATACAAAAAAATCAATAAATAATCTAAACAGACCAAAAGAAAAACCAGCAACAGTCATGTATTAAAGTTTAAAAAAATGTCTTATTTTTCCAATTCTGAGTGGGTCATTAATGGACTTGTGAGATGTAATCATGTCTGCTCTTCTTTTAGGGACACTTACATGGCCAGCGCATGCGTGAAGCCAACTACCGAGCAGCTGTTCAGATCTTTGAGAGGGTCAACTCATCGCTGCTGCCCAGAAACATCCTGGACCTCCACGGCCTGCACGTGGACGAAGCCCTGGAACATCTGGCTCAGGTCTTACAGGACAAAACAGCAGGTGCTCTAACCTCCCCTACTGTCATACATATTAAAGCACCTTGTTATTAACCGCTGCACACTTCTGTTTGCATTGCGGTGTGAATGTGACGTTTACTGTATTCGGTTCATCTCTTGTGAGCAGATTGTGAGCAGGGTCTGTGTCAGCCCCAGCTGTCTGTCATCACAGGAAGAGGGAACCACAGCCAGGGGGGAGTGGCCCGCATCCGGCCTGCCGTTATAGACTACCTCACCAACAACCACTACAGGTACACACACACACACACACACACACACACACACACACACACACACAGACTGAGCTAGACACGTTTGCCTTCACCTACCTCGTATATATCTCTTCATCTCTCAGGTTCACTGAGCCAAAGCCAGGCCTCGTGTTGGTCTCTTTGAAGTGAAAAGCCCTCGTGTATGCTGCTGGTGCCGCTGAGATCATTTCTTCACCTCCTGCTCCTCCATTTAAAGAAATGTACATATATTTTTTACAGTGTGCATAAAATCAGTCATTCTCTTTTAGTGTTTGGTTTTTACTCCCTCTCATCTTCATCTCTGCTACTGATAATTACATATGTGGTTATGTTTGACATTAATTATTTAATTCTGTCCACATAATTTATTGCATTTGTATGAAGCACATATGAAGTACTTTTTACATACTTAAACAAACATTTTATCTCTAAAATAGTTTTAAAATGTGTATCAGCCTTTATGTGTTTCACAGTGGTTAGCTGGCGGAGTTATTTGTGCTTTGAACATTTCTCCATCTGAAGTCTTGCTTCACTCAGGGTGTACGTATCTGTTTGAGCCATGCTGACTCCATGCAGATTTTAACATATTTTTGAGATGCAGTGAATGCACCACCTTAGATGATCGAGATCTGGTTATCTCAGACTTTAGGTGATGAGTGTGTCAGTCACCACAACCTGAGGTCAAAGGTCATCGTAAAGGTTAAACAACCTCATTTAACAGACTGAGCAGCCTTTACTGTCCTTCTGTAGGGACTGCCCTCCTTCTCTCAACAGCTGCCTCCTTAGTGTAGGACTTTAGTCGAATTAGTGTTATTTAGTTGAATACAGAGCTAACTCTAGCTGGTAATACAGGTGTTAAATCTCAGGTGAGGTATGTTGAGTGTTTTTCTCTTTTAAGGCCAGTGGATTGGTTGCAGCTTTAAAAACAATAAAAAGCAGATTGTGCCAAAATTTGTAGTACTTGTTTTCCAAAGACCACTGCAGGAGTTTTATGCATTTAAAATAAAAAAAAATCATTTACTTTTGTGATATTTTTTCCACAAAGGTTTGATTATCCAATATTTTTAAAGCATACTAGGTATATAGGAGAAAAATGTGTGTTTTTAATCTGCTTTGTTTATATGATTTTTACAGAGATCCTTATAATGTAAAATAAAAGTATTTGTTAACATTTTGTGCATATGTTTGTGTGGATTATTGCTGTATTTAGGCATCTGCAAAATACATTTTCAACAATATAAATATGATGGTGATAAGTTGGTGGTTGTATTTCAGCTCTTTAGAAGTGAGTTGAGGTTAGTAACCATTAATAACTCAGCTTACAGTTTTTTAATTGCTAACAAGCTTTCACCCATACGTCAGATACTTGTTCTAAACTCAGCACAGACTCCCACAAACACGACTGGCCAAATGGAGAACTGCCTTCCCAAAAACACATCTTGATAAACATAAACTAACTCTTCATTTCAAAACAGAACATATCTTTCTCTGCACACACTACCTTCACCCAAAAACTGGACATCTGTAAAGTGAAATTATTCTGTCCAAAAGTAGAACTCGTTTTCACTTCACAAGATATATTCAGCCAATCAAAGTACAGCAGATTTCAAAATACTGGCAATTGTTGACATTAGAAAAACTGCGTAGAGTTTTATGTTTCAGTTTCAGAGATATTTGCATGCAAAACATGCAATCCATGGTTTTACACTATATTCACTGGTTGTGAACCGTATGTCCATACACGCACATTTCAAAGCATTCCAGTAACAAGCTAATTCCTTTTCTGTTTTTTTTTTGTTTTTGTTTACTGTTTATTTCGTGAAGTACAGCAGGAATTATGTTTACAGTATGAAAACAGAAAAATGTCAGCATTATTGCTTGTAGTGAACAAAATATCAATGAAACAAACAAGAGCATTCTGAACAAAAAACCAAACAAAAAAAAAATAAACAGCACAAAGCCCAGATAGAAAGGAGGCAAAACACACAAAATTACTGTAGCTAATCTCTGTGATCTTCTGGGTTAGGCCACATGTTTTCATCAACATCGCACCTGACATCATCCAAAGCAATGCACCTGGGATAACACTGCTTGCTATGTTGGATCCACCCTTGGCAATCAACCATGCAGCCAGCATCCATAGCTTCCAGCAGGGACATGTGGTCATGTGGCTGATGGTCGTAAACCTTCCACCTCCATGCATAAAAGAACTTCTCTATGGGGTTGAGAAAAGAATTACGCTATTTCTGGACATATAGTCATCGTAGCTCCATGACTGTCACTGTTCCTATCAAAAGGAACAGTGCAGAGCTGCTTCATCCGCACTCCGTGTTTGGACAATGTCTATGTAATGGTTGTGAAGCTGATGCTATCAATATTGTCAAATATCTCATGGTCCTCCTCATAGTCTGAATTTCATGCAGTTTTATTGCATTACTGTAAGTCAGTGATGTTTTTTCTCTTAAATATTTAAAGATTTGTTCTCATTTTAGAAGAAATACAATTTTTTTTCTAAATTAAGAAGAAAATTTGCAAGGGTTTGGCTAGTTTTTGGGTTTGGCATTAGCTGCCTATCTTTGTTCGCCCTCAGTCATGGTTGAATTAACATAAATGTTTTAGGATTTTTCCACAAGGTGTTTTTTAACCTGTTCTGTGTTTGCTGCTAAATGTCCTTTTACTTTTTGATGGGGCAGTGGCAGTGCTGTTGACGAATTTAAAGGAAGCAGTGTCCTGTCTAATAACAAGCATGTGATCTCGGTCACTTTGGACGGATAGTTAAAAGTTTGGGCATGTTTCCATCACTCTCTGTGTGCCTGTCGGAGAGTCCTCGCGCCAACATACAGTGCTGTTGCGTGTCTCCGTACCGACGCAGACGGCGAAGTATAAGTCAGCCTTGAGTCGTAGCAGATGGCTGCTTATACTGAGCCAGGATCCTCTGGAGGTTTCTCCTAGTTAAAGGGAATTTTCCTCTCCACTGTCACTACATGCTTGCTTGGTATGAGGATTGCTGTAAAGTCACTGATGTAACAAGTCAGTGACACGATGCTGGGTTCCCATAGATAGAAAACTTTTAACCAGCTAGAATGATGAACAAAACTTGGTATACTGTTTAATACCATCAATTGTACTTTTTGCTTTGGAAAACAACTTGAGATGACTTGTTGTGAATTGGCGCTACATAAATAAACTCCATTGAATTGAATAAAAATAACATTATTTTTCTTTTGTGTTTCACCAAAAAAGGTTGGCTGGAACACAATCGGACTTCCTGTTCAGTTCACACAGGTCAGCTGAGCTGCAGCCAAAAGGATAATTGCCATCCATCGATATTTGTTTTGATCGTTTAACTTAAATGGTAGTTTTTTTTCTCCCTTCGACATCATCTACTATAATAATATCAGCTTCTATTGAAGAGGAGGTTATTAGTGTAGTCAGTCCGTGGTGTGCACCTGCAGTAAAAAGCAGAATGAGAAAATTTGTCAGAAGAGAGATAAAAATCAAGTACAGCTGCTGAGGGGGAGGTAAGCGCTTCAGTCACTTCTCCACACTCCAACAAGCGGATGCTTTTTACCTCTCTCTCTCTCACTTTCTGACTTCCCTCCTTCACCCACCGCCCAAACTGTTCAGAAGGATCCAGAACATTTATCCCTATCTATCCGTGTCGTCCTAATCTTCCATGACCTGACCTGACTACCAGAGTTGTGCTGACTAAAGTTTAATGAGTCGTTTTTCTGGTCTGACTTCGCAGTTGGGTGAAGGTTCAGAGGCATCAGCCGACATCCGTCTGTGAGAGATTGGACTAACTGACAAGGTAGGCCCTACACATCTTCTCTCTGTCGCCTTTATTCTCAGATCAGGTTTGTAATTTGTCTTGATTGCAACACATTTCTTTATGGATTATATATTTTATTACATTTTTCAAAAAAGTTGATTATAAATCAGAAAATGAGCTGTTTTAATAGGTTGAAAAAGTTTAATTGTTGTAATAAGGTTTAGTCTTTTCTGTAAAATATCCAAATAGACATATTCTTGTAAGATCACTGAGGTGAATGGTGGAAAACCCAATGATGAATGCGTCGCATCGACATGATCTTTCCATCCAGATGTCATGGTGGATTGTTTTGAGGTTATTTCTCCTTATGCTTTAGATAAATACTCCAAAACCGCCCATGAAAACTCAGAAATCATCAGAAATCATCAGTAAATCTTTATTTAACCATAAAAAAAGAAATATTTGCATCTCTGACTCAAACTGACACATAATTTGAAATCAGCTGTCGTGCTTGATACTAAACTACAGGATCAAAATGTCTGGTATTAAAATGAAAGAGCTACAGACTGGTGGATGGCAGCTTGGTTCAGATGGATGTTTTTTTCTAGAGCACATGTCTTAAAACTTCAGGATCAAGCTGTGAATTCTGGGTCACGCCCAACCATGCATAACGTTTACTTCCGTATTCCAACCATTGCTACAGATGAGTGTTTTTATCCAGGAAATAAGCTGCTGCTATCTGGCCTTGTTGACTGGGTCCAGTCTGACAGATGTCAGCAGAAACTGTAGGCAAATAAATGAAAGATCTATAAACTGTGGATGTGGCTAACCTACAGTATCCTCCCTTCTCTTGTCTTCTCCAGTTAGCCTTCTGATTGGGTCGAGTGATGATTTGAGGAGAAGTGCTCGAGTCGAACCTGCTGCAGAGACCGAGTGGACGTGAGACGCGTCGATATGGCCTAAAGACCCAGGAGATAACTTCCTTTGCTGGGGAACCGAGTCACACCAGATCTATCGGTATTTGATTAACTGAGGTCATTCTGCAGAGGAGCTCTTCCACTGATGGAGTTTCCATGAATCAGATCTAAACCCAGCCTTAGCTACAGGCATTCTACCAAGAATCCCACACAGACGGAGATAATAACCAGCAAACATGAATGGGATGACGGATTTGTCTGTGAAATGTGTCTTGGTTGGAGACAGTGCGGTGGGTAAGACGGCCCTGCTGGTCCGCTTCACCTCGGAGACCTTCCCAGACTCCTACAAGCCCACAGTGTTTGATAACACAGGAGTGGAGGTGTTCATGGATGGGGTCCAGATCAGCCTCGGCCTGTGGGACACGGCGGGCAACGAAAACTTAAGGCAGATCCGACCCAGATCGTATCAACACGCTGACGTCGTCCTCATCTGTTACTCTGTGGCTAACCCGAACTCTCTAGCCAACATTCAGCGCAAGTGGATTGCTGAGGTGAGAGAAAACCTACCCAAGGTGCCAGTGCTGGTGGTGGCCACGCAGACGGACCTTAGGGAGATGGGAGTTCATCGAGGTAGCTGCATCACGCCGGTTGAGGGGAAGCGCGTGGCTCACGAAGTGCACGCCAAGGGCTACCTGGAGTGCTCATCTTTGAGTAACCGCGGCGTGCAGCAGGTGTTTGAACACGCGGTGCGGACAGTTTTTAACAAACACAAGAAACAAGAAAGGAGACGCATGTTCGGCATCAACCAGTGCAAAATCTTTTGACCTTTGACTTTGTTCGGTTTTCATCGATTTTGCATCTTGGTGTCCTTTTCAGACTCAGTCGGACATGGAGGCATGCAAGCAGCCAGACCGGGTTCCACTTATTTCACTTCAACACCAAACACACGAAACCCAAGCACATAATAATAAAAAAATACACCTAACTGATTTTTTTGTTCCAGCGTAAAGAAGTGGACGTTCTTTGGATTTTTTGATACAATGATCCCAGATAAACCTGAGACCCTTTAAAACAGTTTATGTTTGAATCCTGATGTTACGACAAACCAAAGCAAACATAAAAAAAATCCTACAGCCTTGTAATTTAAATACATGTTCATGCAGTTTTACCAAAATACTTTGTACATGGGTTGTATTCATAAAGTTAATGACATTCTAAATGTTTTCATTTTTACAGATATCAATAAAGTTAGGAAAAAATAAATGAAAGAGAAAGGTTAACTTGAAAACTTTTGAT